TTACTGCATTCTAATTACATACATACATGTGTTTTCCCCTTTTATGGAAATACAATTTATGTTTTCCAGAGGGATTATTTTGTATTTGATCATTGATGAATGTTAATATTAATAATTTATTCATTCATTGTACTCAAGTATTTTGAATAGGTCGATATCCTACGCAACTTTTTGCAATATTTATATTTATATTGTTATATATATTATTTACTGCTCTGATATAAACAACACATTCATTCCAGCTTTCAGAATTTACTATACGATCAAATAATTGTCTCACACTGATAACCTGAGAATTGCTAAACACCGTGAGATCTTTATCTTATATCGTGATTTTCAATGATTGGTTTGCAGTTATTTTCATGAAAATATATATACAAACCACCAATTGTGATTTCAACTGAAACTTATGCATTATTTACATATTTTAAATGGTTTAATAATAGGGTTCTCGTATTTTTATTAATTATATATATATATATGTGTGTGTGTGAAATAGATACAAGGTAAGCAAAGTACATTTCTTTAAACATTTTGGATTAAAAAATTCTTGCTTATAAAAAATTTGTTTAGGTTATAGTATAAACTGTATACGAAATCTTGTACCCGCCAAACAAAATTACGATCATAAACAATACAATATTGCATGAAATTGGTATTGAAAACGTACCATGAAATACCATGACCTAAGAAGGCTTTGGTCTTAAGTCGTTAGGTCATTAGAGGTGGTAAGGGAGCATTCATCGACGAATCATGATCATTTTTAATCTTTAGTTATTCTCTTACTTATCTTTAGTTAATTCTCATTTTGTCTTGTAGAATAAATTACAAAAATTGAAAACTTATAACAGTAATTCTGACTGTGATATAATAGAAAATCGCTTATAAATTCCGGTTGAAATAATTGTGATCAGGCTCATAATTTAAAATTAATTTTGCAGCAAGAGCGTAAATGTTTTTTATAAATTATTGCCTATTATTTCATCCACATGTAAAGCATATTGAGAGATAGTATTTTAAAAATCAGAAGTATTTTAGTAAAATATGCATAATATTTTTTGATTGATTTGTGAAAACTTGCGTGTCCAAATTTGCTTACGCAAGCGCAGTTCTATTAAGGCGCGTCTACAAAACCTTTAAAAGCTTTTAACTCCATCTGTGAGTCGTGATACACAATGGAATATTCAATGTAACTAGTATACTAAGGAAATTTATAAGAGATGGAGCTGAGTGGAATATTGAAATATTGTTAAATAGGTATGTGCAATACATCCAGAGGATATTTTGAATTTGTATATATTCGAAATGACCATTAATATGCCTGAGTTAGATTATGAAAGGAAGATGTGCATCTTTATTAAACTTCCATTTTTCAGCGTTCCGCGAAGTATGCACTGATACCTCTTAGCACAAGACCTTTTTACTTCCCTCCTTTCGTAGGGGCTATTCCTCTTTTATAATGTTCAGATTTAATCAAAATTTAGAATAATTCAAACAGTGCTTATAATATTTATATATATAGATAGATAGATAGATAGATAGATATACATATATATACTAAAAAACTTTTATGGTGTTGTACTTTGTTCACTGGATATGTAAGTTTCAGAA